AAACTAACTTTATATATATATATATAGTTTTACAAGTTCCTCTAAGGCAACCTCCAAAAGGAACTATACAATGGAGACTGTATATGTCTATGGAACTCAGTTTGCAAGCACGTGACCTTCAGTGTAAGCTCTTCTCGCTTCTAGTGCAAAAGACCGCACCAAAGGATCTAAGCATTCATTGCCACCATCCATACCACAGTGGAAGTCGGAGTAGAGGACATGGCTAACACAAGTATACAGCATTGTTCGATGATAGGAATTTGTTGCAGCGAACAGTGTCGGTTTCCAGCACAGCAGCCATACTGGCTGTTTTCGTTTTCCTGTCCCCTCATCCCCATACACCATAAGAGGTATACACTTGTTCCTGTCACTTGCAGGAATGTCTTGCCACATGGGATGACCGGGGTCGTGGCATTCGTAGCGTGCCCAGAACTGCAGTAGAATATCTTTCCATGTGCCAGCGGGATCGTCTAGAGAATGGCCACCGAGCAACAAGTGAGATTGATTTTTCACCATGTACTGGAGCATATCCAGCAAGCTAAGAACAGGGTGCTGCACATCACCCTGATGTGCATACACTGTCTTTTCATAGCGAATCGGAACCGACAGCGAGTAGCCCAATCGGTCCATGGATCGAAGAACATCTCTCATGCAGTTCTTATCGGATTTTCCAGACCCGCCGATTTGTCGAAGCTCATCCCCCTCAGCATCCAATCCGGAAGCCTTTCGCTTGGAGGCTCCACGTGCGATGTTCGCGGCCTTCTTGGCGTGGCCGGCCTACAGGGATTCTGAAATAAAGCCCATATAACCCTAAACCCTAAACCCTAAACCCTGAACCCTAAATATACAATCAATTGTTGAGCTTGCACTCCACAAACCCTCCAGAAACCCCGAAAGAAAGGGCTGATGTTGAACTCAGTGGCAGTCAATGCTCCATAGACTGCATCCATGATTTCGGATCTGCCTGGCATCGTGGGTTTGCATGAGATCAGATAGAGAAGCCATGTGCAACTGTTGGACATGCACATGAAAAGACCCACGAACCGATTCGGATTTTTTTCCACTAGGTGCCATCCAGTCTTGGCTCTGCGTGCAGTGGCCGTTGCCCGAGACACGAATGTTCTGACATCGTTGCACAACTTTAGGGTTTAGGGGTTTAGGGTTTAGGGTTTAGGGTTTAGGGTTTAGGGTTTAGGGTTTAGGGTTTAGGGTTTAGGGTTTAGGGTTTAGATAGATAGATAGATA